GTAATCACAGATTTCCTTCCAGCTACCTCGTTTCACAGATCTTTCGGTTTATGCTACACACTTAATGACTTGTCCAGGCTCCGATGACGCACACACCAACAGTTCCACTAAAGATAACCACACTTCATTCGATTTGCGGAATTTCGCATCCTTTTATAGACACTCACGATTAAAGTGATGGTTGAGTATCGTGTAATGAATGAATGTGTTATATTAATATTCGATTTTAAATCCTTGATGGACATCCAGTGAATGTATATTTAGCAAGTTATGATGGAATTTGTCCATAAGCACCCTCTTGATAACTATTACTCCACAATGTACATACAAATAAAATTTCTTCGTACTGGATATGTAGTTCATCTCTATTCATACCATTTGTTTAAAAAATGAAAGTAAAACATTTTCTAAAACACCTTCAAAACGGCTTTATAACGTCCTCAGCTGGGGTTTTCAAAACCTTAGGTACTGCTGCTTCTGCAAACGCCTTGCTAATGTCTACTCAAGTCGCGATTACTAGAGGGTCTCTTATCAACTCTAGTGCCGTAAGCATCGATGAGGAAGACATTGGTTTCTCCATCCTTCAAATAGCCACTGATTAGGCAGCAGTAATTTTAATCAAGTAGGGAACTTCAAACAACAGCCCCTACCTATAAAAACAGGTTCGTGAACACAATTTTAGGCTGTTTGGCATATGAAAGTCTCACAAACAGCTTGAATGCAACAAAACCAAATGCTTGGAACAAAATAATGATCAGATAAAATAAATTCTGGAGGCAAAGTGTATTATCTGAACGGTGGCGAAAACAAAAGGGATGATAAATGCAACATGAGTGAATATTTCATATTGGGATTCAACACGTAGTTACGAAAAATGCATAAAATATTGTATGAACTATAAGCAAACAAAATCTGGTCCAAAATAACCCACCAGCATAGGTGTAAATGTACTAGATTTGAACAGTAGAGCTGCAGTTTTACTGGTTTTCATCAATTTTAGTGTTACTTAACAGCATTTGCTTGCCACTTTCAGTCAACAGATCTTCTGCTCCAGCTTCTGCTGGTGTGCTAACGTTACGAAATGTGACGAAAAGTACTTCAACAGTGTTTGGCATGTTAAGAAGTGCAAAATTGTTTAGGGAATTACTAGGTATATTGACGTCAAATGTAGTCTGGTTGGGATACATAAATCTATGTAAAATACCTTACAGCTGACATTAATTTCAGTGGCGAAAAATTAGTTATTGAGCTCAAAATACTTCATGTAATGTAAGTCATGGAATTCGTGCTTTTTATCGCTTTGCAAAGGTGATATACTGTTACTGCCTTTGAGTTTACCACCCTGATAAACCACTGAAGAAATTAATAGCTGTAGAATATGACTAACTCAGAAGAATCATCCTATTACTGAACTTTAGGCGTTAGAAGTCCCAGAGTTCAGAATTAAGCCAAAATAGCTAAGTAGATCTTATTATTTATTCTAATTAAACACACTGCCGTTCAGAGCATATTTTTGACCTGCTGAGTGTTTTGATTCGTCTTTCCTTGCCGGTATTTATACTTTAAGCGGTGTACTGATCCATGCTGCGTGCTTGAGCACACCATGTGCAGTCAGGGAGGTGAAGTGTGCCGTTGTAGTTTATTAAGTAGGAAGAAGGAAGGCTTAAATCCCCACATTATTTTTGGTAATCTTACCTGAGCAGGATGAAAACGGTGGAAGTTTACCGGTCTCGAATGCAAGATGTCTTCCATGCACATAAGGTTTAAGGGTGAAGCACCTTGGAGCTCAGTTATTAATTACTAAAGTAACAGAAGCATCGCAAACTATGATGAATTTCTTAGCTATAATTGCCATTAAGAAACCGCCGCTGTATATGCCGTGAGAATAAAACGCCGAAAATTTAAATGTATGCGGCTGATTACAGTTTTCTGGAAAGTTCATCCTGTTTAACAAACCCTCTCCATGCTTAAGGGATCAGGACGAGAATGCCAAAAGTCTGCAGACCTGATCTTTACAGATTCTGGTAAGCAACTCCAAATTAAATATCGAATTGAAAAATTACAAAATCGACATGTTTCTCGTTGGAAATACGAAGAAATAGAGGAGAAAGAATCATCGGGAAGTGGGATACCGAATAATGTGCCGCCAAGCATATGGTTCCTTACGCTTCAAATGAGCGATTTTCTGCTACTCGAAGAAGTCAATCTACCATACATTTTTCGCAGAATAAAATGAAATTTATTCAGTGAGTAAATTGAAAAGATCTGCGGCGGGTGAGAGGAAAATGTCTGTGCTATATAGCCTACCACAGATCCAGAACAGTTTCACAAAGTATGATAGCTGAAGCTTAAAAAGAGGGTGGCATTTTTGGCAGGTTGATGATGAACCCCATCGTTAGGTGTTCCGCGCATAGTATGACAAACTCCTTGACAGACACATCAGCTGTGTCTGGAAGTTGATGCAACACCTTTAAAACGCCTACAGGTAACTTCTAACATAAAAACGTTCCTATAGGTATGCAAGTAAGCACCGACAACCTGAGGAAATTCAAATGATAGTTGACCGTATCTGTTTTGCCTAGTCAAGTCTATTGAGACGAACCCCCACAAGTTTGTTTTGCAACGACTTAGATCCTAGACTTTTTGACGTCATGAAACAGTTTACCTTTTCTTTGTTGATTATCTTAACTAGGGAATTCAGCTAAGGAAATTTCTCCCTTCTTCTAAATACTGTAATTGTTACACCCAAGACTGCACCCCTGGACACTAAGACCGTACTTTATATAACATTTGTATTTTGTGTTAATTTGACCGTTTGTGGTTCACTGGACTGTTGTACATCTTGTGCTTGAATGCATATTTTCGTTAACTGCAAGCCGTTTTTAGTTTCAGTCACTGTGTTCCCCGTGTTTGGATACCGGTTAGTCTTATATTTGAAGGTTTGTGATATGTTTATCTAGTACACTTAGTTTAATAGGATAATAGTCTTGCAGTTTTTCAGCAGTCTCTTATCAATATGATTCCCTTTGAAACCGCTCTGCTTTGTTTTGGATTCGGTCAAGTCTACTTACGACGATATGGTTTTGTCTCGGATTTTGGCCGAAGGCTGAGAGTCTGTCTCCTCGAAAGGTTATTTGTGCAGTGACTATAACAGCACCGCCTTTCAGTCTGTGTTAAGTTTTTACTTCATTGTGAACCATCACTTCTATGGGTGTTAGACTTCTACTTTAAGTCAGACAGGATGTTCATTCGAACCCCGCATATCCAAAAATTCACACCAGAAGCAATTGAAAACGAAAATTTGAACATCACAGTCATTAAAGGTCCTAGGCAGAGCCATGAAACCTTAGTTATGTTCAACCCCAAGTTGATAGCTTTACGGGGACAAAGCATCCAAGTGAACGAGTTGCTGTCACTTTCAGCAAAACCGCAGCAGACGAACATAGTTCCATACAAATGGCTACGGGATATTATACTAAGTCCTACGTGACAGCTGATACTGAATCCGCACCTTATGATTTCTTTGTCTGATCATCATTAGGAAAATGGTACAGCCTACAGATGCGGATTCAGCTGATATTTATGCATGTGAATTTGGGTTGGCAGGGTCAAAGCCTTAAGAAGTATTCCCGGTTGGAAGGGAGGGAGTCCATAAAAAGTCTCTAGAATTTTTAAACATAATGTAGAAATTGACGACAGTAGCAGCCGACTATTCCAAGTACTAGTAGTTAGTGCAATGTTCGTATTCACGCATTCGGTGTCAAAAAAGGAATATTAAGATGTGGACAGAATGGCCATCTGGAGACAGAACGGAGACGAGATAAGCCGTAGCTTATTTGTGACCCTGGGTGTAACGAATTCGAAGAACCCAGATTTAAAATGTGCATATTAGAGTCATTTTCTTAAAGAGGGTAGTGGTAAACCTATATCAAATCACCCAGATTCACTCCCAACATATATTTCCATTATGGTGTTAAAATGGTTGTTTAGAGACCAATTATTTGTCACTGTAGAGGAACACGGCTTATTGATGAAAGAATAGCAGGTAATCATTCTAGGAACTCCGTGCGAAATGAACTTTCTGATAGCAAGGAGACATTAGGTGGAAAGCGGGGACAAAAAGTCGCATTAAGTAAGGTTTACTGCTTGAGCCACTTGAGTAAATTAAAGGGCTTCAGTTAAAATGAAATCCCACTTAGCTGGTTTACACACTGTTTTTACGTATGATGGGATGTATTTTTAATTAGCGTTAAGGAACAAAAAAGATGAGAATTACTACCGGCTGGAGGTTAGAAACCACTGTCCATTGTCCTATAGCTACGTCTGCGGCTTTCCAAATACTCTGTGTGCTTGGCAGGTCGTCTCAATACTTAGGTTAGCAAATGTTTAAAATGATATATCCAGTCCATGGTGGATATATTTTATATACAGTATATGAGACACCAGCCCATGCTTAAAGAGATGAATGTTTTGGAGAGTTTACAACTCGTTTGCCATAGGCTAACGGAAGATATCGTAAACCCTCCACAGAAGAAGGTGGAAAGTCGAAGCCCCTAAAATGATCACACGGTAATAGGGACGGTGACCTTATGTTCACTCTTTATATAGAAAATAGTTAGGTGGGTTTTGAGCTTTGCAGACTGTGTGCTGGTTCTGAGATACTTCTGAGGGTTCATCGCTTGGTTTAAACGACAGGTTAACAAACTACGGGTAGAAAACAACTTCTCACATAGGATGATTGACTTTTCGAAAGATTCTGCCGGACCAAATGGCACTGGATCCCTTGATAAATACCCTCAAATAGAATTTTGCTCACCGAGAGAACCTCTATCACATTACGCTTCATGGCAGATGTCTGAAGAGCTTCATACTCACCTGATAAGGACACTGCATTACTGCACATCATATAATTTCTTTCTTCATTTTAAATGGGTTGAAGAAACCAAAATTTCGTTAAGTAATCCAAGAAAGAAATACACAGACATGAATTTCCCGGAAAGGTGTGCAAGTCGAAATGAAATTGAATGTTCAATCTCTAGGGCAGTGGTTTCAGTGCGCAGGAATGAAAACTCTAAGATACGCTCTCGGGTTTTTATTAGTTTTATTAGGATTTTGTTCATGTGATGTTATTAAACTTAACTCAACAAATTGGAAACAAATGCTGGAAGGCGAATGGTTTGTAAAATTGTGAGCAACTTATAAAGCAGTTATCTATTAATTATGTTGGCCGCATTTATTATTGCCATTTTGTTTTTTATTCTGAAATGTTGTAATATTTGGTAGCTTGTCCATGATGCCTCCCCAGAATTGCACAGCCAAATACCAGTTTTTTATAGTGCAGCTGACTGGACTAATGTATAGGACTTCATTGTGACATTCCTTAAGTTTGGCAATAACATGCACTTTGGGAGAAATTTGGTGAAATAAATTTGCGGATATCAGATAACTGGAAAATTTGTAAATTGCGAGTGTCAAGCTGCATATCTTTCGTCGTATATCACCTGTGGTGCGGGTAAAATACCTTTACGAGTGACACAAAGTTATTGCGTCGAGACTGTACCACAACGGTCAAAATTCTCCGATGCTGCATTGCAATAACGCTGCCATACGTTCCTATAACGTATTCGTACTTAGCTAGCTGTGTCAAATGATAAAAAGCTGGAAATTTTAAAGTCTGATGAAGGTTTCTAGGTTGTTTTCAGGAATATATATGATTATGTCGAAAATACAGATGATAAATTGAGTGACAGGTTGAAATCTTAAGAACAGAAAAGTCGAAAAGTTTTGAATAAAAAAATTGCGAATGAACTAACCGGAGCTTTGGAGAAACTAAATGAGGAACAAATATTTCTCACAAGTTTATGCTACGGACTCAACCCCACAGGGACATACAAAAAGTTTATGCACTCTACTCCAAGTGAACAAAGACCAATTATGTGTGTGCGGAATTCACCCTATCATGCTTTAGCTAAACAACTGGTAAATTCTAAAACCTCTACATGATCAGCTAGTCAAATATAGTGTGGAAGTTGTCTTAGGATTCATAGTCAGAGTGAAAGATATTAGCAACATATTGCCTGTATTCACAAATGTACCTCTGATTGAAACGTCTGTCTACATATGTGAATCAGTAATAGGTCAGTAAATATTAATACCCCAACAAATCTCCTTAAAAAGTCGCTGCTAAAGTGCACCATGAATTTAAGTTTAAAATTTGATGGCGAACTGTCCACATATCTATGAGAGTCGAAAAGAAATATTCTACATCTGTGAAGAATATGCCACTCTATTGAAATTTAAAGGTGATATACCAAGTGAAGTTGTAATCAACAAGTGAAAATTTGTTCAAAGAACTTTTAATTCTGGTTAGTTGCTGCTCATTTTAAAAACAAAACAGTTCCAACAGTCGGTGTGATCACGGGCTCAAAATATCACTAGAAAACAAAAACTTATCATTGTATGTGAACCATTGAAATATAATTATAATTTATTCGATCTAGTCCACAATGCTCAAACTTTTTACTGACATCAATTTTTTACACGCCTGGTTGATTCCGAGACTGAAAGGTGAAGCGCCTAAATACCTAGGTACCCATCAATTCATCTGCTCTTGTGGAACCAGTTATATCAGTCTGCTCTACGATCTTAGTTTTTCGCGTTCGAAAAGATTTACCTGTGTGACTGAATAAAGGCGTAGGAAAAAACATCAAATATTTGACATTAGAACACAGTGGTTAGGACTCTCGCCGACCATGCACATGGTCCGGGGTTCGATCCCCTGCCGGCGCACACCTAATATCTATGGTCGGCCTGAAATTTGGGCTACCGATATCCATGCTGAAAATTCCATACTTGTACTGAAAATACGGTGTGGAATCAAGCTGTAATCAAAATAAAATAAAAAAAATTAAAAAAAACCAGAAGGTCGGCACAGAAGAATCCTCCTCTCACTTATGGTGTACTGAATTGACTGCCTAGAGTCAGTACCTACGTAACACTCCGAACAGTGGAGGCTGTAGTAATTGGCTTAAAATCGTTGGAACTTTATGTGCAGGAAAATTAAGTGCAGTCACTATTGCTACATTGACTTGCTGTGAAGTGTTACATCATACGTTCTAGGTATGACTTGTCGTCCTTGATATAGAAACATCCTCCTGTCTCTTATTTATTACACTTGTACAATCGGACGTCTCATTTTCATCTGCCTGTGGTTATTTAAAACACAATGCTGTGCGTCGGTGGCACAGCAGTTAGGACACTCGCCGACCATGCACGTGGTCCGGGGTTCAATCCCTGGCTGACACACACTTGGTATCAATGGCCAGCCTGCTAGATTTGGGCTTCTAATATCACATGCTGAAAATTCCATATTTTCATCAGAAATACTATGTGGAGTCAAGCTATAATGAAGAATTATTCTTTAACTATTGTGGATATATAACTGTAGAAATGATTTGTAGCTCAGGTGAATTTTATTGGTGTAGCTGTGTTCTCCAAGTTAGATAGTTTATTTAAGAAGTTTTCATCCACTTTCTAAATAGATTCTCAACATAGAATTCGATATGGAGTTTGCTTTTTTTCCTCAAATGAACGATCCTGCTCAGATAACACAAGTGTAAGCTAATAAGTATAACTGTAGAAGCTTGATGAGGAAGTTGTCGAAAAGAATGTTTCTGGTTCACCAATCAGTCTTTCTATATTTATCATCGATATGTTTAATCAGAAAGTAATTAACCGGAGGAATATTTTTCAGTGACTTCATTTTCAAGCTGTACGGCTGCATTTATATATTACGTAAACATGTAGCCACTGGCACTAGAAATTGCTTATTCAAATACACTTGATAGAAATTAACATTATTGTTGAAAGGGTATTATTAGAGTGGATGAAATGCAAATAAAATTATCAGGGAAAGGAATTCATATGAAGAGACGCTAAGTGGGTTGAGTGTTGCCAAAAGGTGAGATTATGAGCATAATAATAAAATTATTATAACGATAAGGATGCCAAAGTGATGTAAAATGAAGTTAACTAAAAAAACTTTGTTATAACCAAAGTAAGGAAAGGAGTTCCACAAAATGTTTTGGAATAAATAATTTCGGTTTTTTTTTCAAGTATAGCTAGTGTTCCGAATATACATAAGTCATAAAGACGTAAACTCAGTCCTCGTTTTCCTATTTTTTTTCTAAAAAATCAACACTATAGCCACGCGCCATGGTGTCCAGCTTGTCGACAATTTTCCCCAGTTTGGGAACAGCTTGCTCAGGATACGTCTACCAATTCTTTAATCGCAGAAGTTGATGTAACAGAAAGTCCTGTTCTTAGTTTCATATTTTTCGTCAAGAGACTTCCAACTCTTTATCAGTAAGTTTTGTTTCCAGTTGAATACTGTGTGTACAGATAAAAGTGAGAGCTTTTTTAAAAAAAATTTTTTCTAGCTAACAAGCCCATCATTTATGTAGTTCATAACAGTTGTTCTTTTAATTGTTTAACTGATCAAATAAGTTTGTAAAGCTTTTACTACACTAGGTATAACTTTTTGGACCAGCCATATCAGGGTTATCTCAGAAAGACAAGGAGTGTAAACAGAAATCGATTAAACCGCAGCAAAATTGCTGGTGGAGTGAATGTTGTAATTTATGTGTTCCTTATTCACATGCTGTTCTTTAGGTGTAGTGTTATAGTTCTACATTAACTACAGTTATCCATGGATAAATGTATCAAGATCTTTTAGAATTTTATAGAGATATGTGTCATTCGAATATGATGTTTAGTTTGTAATAACTTGGTTCCATTCAAATGCACTGTCGTCAAGATTCGACAGAATAGTTCTAAAATATTTGGGCGCTGAGTGAGAAGTAGACATTTGTAAAGAAATATATTTGTAAAATCTCAGCGAGATTGAAATGAGTAATTCCAGCGTTTCGTTCGGCAATCTGGTCCGAACTTCTTCAGGGAAATTAATCGAAATTAACATAACAAAGGTTTATATATAAAAGGAACATAATTTGTTTTTAAAAACTTTATCCAATCATGAGTCATTCAACAAGTATAATAAATAAAATTTTATGAGCTGTGATTAAAATTTGACTCCGGATTTACAAATATTGGTCTACTTTTGTTAAACACTTTAAACAGAGTGTGTATGTGTGTGTGGGTAAACAGTTGTAAAACATTGCTTAACGTCTCCATAAGAAGATATGGACAGTCGAGAATTTTGACCAAGTATTAATAATTAGTGATACATATCCATTTTTGTTTATTAATAAGGATTTCCTATGCATCAGCTAACATCACACCTTCATGTCCGTTCAAACTGCTAGTATCTAGAATTTTATCATTAGACGTATTTTCAGAATTATGGTGTTTAGGATTAGAGTTTAGTAGGAGCACCCTGTCAGACTTATTGCTTTGTCTTCTTTCTGGAGATTGAGCTGCTTTATTCGACCTACTGGAGTTGTCAGGTGACTCGACAGCTACGTATTTAGGATATGCATTCTGTTGCAGACAACGGAGAGTGAAAACACGATGATTATGCCAATTACACGTCTAATCATAAAATTCTAGATACTTACTCTTCTCATTCACTGTAGTTTCGTCACACTTTTTCTCTAGTTCTTTTTCCGTTCTTTATCTAATTGTATCAGCTTGAATTTCTGCACTTATGTGCAAAGTGCTGCTGCTTCATGCAATAAGAAAGGTGAAAAGAATAAAGATAACGCATTAATAATAATAATAGTGATAATAGTAATGATAAAAGTAAGCAGAGTTAGATGGGTGGTTGTGATTATCATATCTGCAATTCGTGAATAATAATCATGATCGATCCACAATAATTGATTTCATATTATTGGTTATCCATTGTTATCAAATAATGTTAGCATGTGTTATTTCTTATGAGAAGGCTGTAGAGTACAATAATGCGTAGATTCTTGGATTATTTAACCAAAGGTAAATTATTTTGAATACCACTAAAACAGTGATAAATGAGTAATACAGCAAAAACAAAACAAAAATGAAAGTCTTAAAGCATTCCTCGCATTCCCTTCTTCTTCTTGTGTACAGTGGCTTTGTGTTTTGTGTGTTGTGCCGCTATTCGTGATTAACATATCTCACATTATTTTTTCTGATTACATTTTATCAGAACCATTATGTAATCATTCTGTCTCTCTGTCTGTCTATTTTCG